GGGGAAAAGTTTTGGAAAGATAATATTTTATCAAACTAAAAATTGATTTGATGGTAGAGTTGGAAAAAATTTCCATTTTTAATTCCGTAAAGTTTAATAGATATATAAAAAAAAAAATATTGAAAGTAGATACAAGAAAAGGCATTTTCATATAATCTTTGATATGTTATTAGTATTTATTGTTTTATATATATTGGTGCAATTTTCTTATTTTGTGCTTGATCTTCTGTTTTAGTAACTTGGTTATTATTTTATTTATTTACTTTTCTAGGATAAAATTTTCTCCCATTTAGTAATGATTGAATGACAAGATAAGTGTGCCTATTTTTTAAAAAATCTCTTTGTGTCCATCCTTTAATCTCATAAATGTAATATAATACTTACCTTCATAACATAGATAATATTTAATTTTTAAGATATATAAATATTATATGCATTTAAAGATTCAAAATATAAATTAAATACCCTGCCAAATAATTTATTTAAAAAAAATTATAATTATTATGTTTCCTATTGGGGTTAGAACTATATGTGGTTATGTGCATAGCAAAATAAATCTCCTAAGTAATATTCCTTAAAATCTACTAAAATTTGCAGGAATTGAAAAGTATCACTTTAGCCTATTTAAAGGAAAGAAAGGAAAAAAGCATGAATGAGTAACCGTTACTTAGAACTATATATATAAACACATGCATTGTGCTAAATTAGTTATCAATATCTCTTCCTTCCATATTGATTCACACCTGTGCATATAATTTTTGGATTTGAAGATGGAAGACTTCATAATAGATGGTGATATGGATTTCAAGATAGAAGACTTGAGAATAGACGGTGATATGATTATATCGAAAACGCTATCACGTACTGATGTTGACAAACATGGACGTCTGCTTCTACCCAAAAGCCAAATGCTCACCGTGTTACAAAAGATGAAAGATGTTACAAAGGAGAGTTTGCAAAATGGTATTGAACTCGAAGTTCTAGACTTGATTAAAAACCATTCATACTCTGTTATCCTAAAATTCAGGAGTCCCTCCAAGGACTATATTCTGGGAACGGGATGGAGCGCCTTGAAGTATTCACTAGAGCTCAAAGAAGGTGACAATATCAAACTATACTGGGATTACTTGAACTACAAGTTCATAATTCTCAACTTTGAATACAGCTTAATCCCCTTTTAAAGGATGATGTGATAAAGATTGGAGCGTATATATATGTTCGCTCACAACTTCGTTTTTATTTTCCTATTTTATGCTGTATTAAATATGTTTTGCATTTATATGTACATTTTAATTATCTTCATATGTAATCATCTCTTGAAAAGTTGGATATTTAAATGGATGTAAAAAATTTGAGATTGAATAAGAGATATGATCGTTATGGGAAAGTAAGAATGATTGGTGTATGGAGCACTTAACAATCATTTTACTAAAATTTATGCAAAGAATTACAAGAAAAAAATACATATTCTCTAAACTTTAATTGTAAAATTATACAAAGACTTTGAATGGATGTTGCAGGTAAAACAGAGTAATATGTCTACAATTTAATCTGTGTTAATTTTTTAGATGAACAACAATTAATCCACCACGGTTCAAGTTTATTTGTATGTAGAAGCAGTCTATGATTTGTTTTCCTTTGATCTGCACCACTACGTACTATAATATGAATGGTGAATAAAAAATAGAGAATTTTTGAGAAATACCCCTTTTGGTGTATCCATTTTTAAAAATACCCTTCTTTTTATCCATTTTCAAAAATACCCATTTTCAAATATGAAAAATTATAAACTTCTAAAAAATAATCTAATCCATAAACAAATGTTTTCACCTTAACTGTCATAACTGCTCGAACTAGGTGTTTCTCATGCCATGTAGGGATTTTTTTTAGTCAACACCTTAAATACAAATTGACTAAGATGTGCCAAAACTGGGGTACGTCGTTCACATAGAGACTCAAAAGTGGTTCGCTATGCACTTTGCATGTCAAAGATTCCATTTTAAGATTAGCCTGCAAGATATCTTAATATAGATATCTCTTGTAAGCACATAGAGAGCACTGGCCATTATGTTGGAGAATTCATATCTTTATCAAATCTGAATAATCTGAATAGTCTCGTATGAATGTGTTGATCATACATTTCATTGTCCACCAGTTCTTCAACCTCCGTGTGTAAAGATGATAGACTTCTAGGGAGATAGGTTGCACCCATTGTTGGAGGTCCATTATCATGGTACAATACCATCCTGACCCTAAAAATTTGTCTTCCTCCTACCAAGAACCATCAATAAAACATTTATTTCCTGTAAGTGAGATATTGCAGTTCTCTAAATTGCTTGAACATGAGGGTTTGAACGGTCTGTAGCTGTGTTAATGGAGTCATTTGATTGCGCGACCACCCAAGCATGTTCTTTATTTTTTGTTGACCGCAACACATCTCTCTGGTCATTTTCTACATTATCAAAAACCTTATCATTTCTAATCTTCCATATGTATACCATAATAGCCAATGGAACATTGATACATTTGATCTGGTAGATATTCTTCAAAACATATATATAGTCCATATTTTCATATAAGGAAACTGCTGGAAATATTCCTATTGTCGTGGGAAGTTTAGATAAAGCCCAAGTTTGGAGTGCTCGTGAAAGGGGTTTAACACATTATTGTATATTTTTCTTTTTAGTAATACCTTATATAGATTGATTCAGCCAAAATGTCTTTAGTAACAAGAAAACTTGGATTTGTTATGAAATATGCTTGTTTTTTTATCGTCTTTAGATTTATTAATTATGAGAATTTTTACAAAGATAATCTATCATGGGCAATTCCTTCCGACCCTGTTAGATTCACTATTGACAGCAAACCTTTGCTGATCATGAACGCCTCCTTCTCCATGCCGATCTTGGACACCATCTTCTTCTTCAATAGTTAGAACCACGGCGAACGGCTCCAATTGCGCATCACTGGAGATCTCCTGTGAACTTGTCTCCATTAATCCGCAGAAATATTAATAAATCGCGCTATATGAGGCTCGAACTCCAAACCTCATGGTGTGGAAGCATTACAAAACACTTGGTCAACACCATTGGACAAAAAAAAAAGTGAATTTTGTGAAATCTGTTATATACCGTGTATATATGATTTATGTGGTATAAAAAATTAAATAAATTTTTATAAATGAATCTCTATCTTTACTTGCTGTATATCACAAAATATTGAAGGATTTTTAATCCCATCAAATTTAATGGATATGGAAATGAAATTTTTGAAAATAGATACAATAAAAAAATACATTTTCCTATTAGTTTTTTTATATTGGCTTTTAATAGTTTGAGATTTTTTTTTTTTTGGCACTTTTCCTATTCCGAGTTTGATCTTGTATTTTTTGTAACTTGGCTATAAATGTTTTTGGATTTTCTCTTTATTTATTTTAGAACAAAATTTTCTCTCATTAATAATTATTTAGGAACAAGATATTGATTATTGAAGTCTGTCTAGCTATTTCCCAAAATTTTCTCTTTTCCATCCTTTAATGTCATAAATGTAACATAACCCTTTACCTTCATAACTTAACATTTAAGTTTTAAGATACATAAATATTATATACATTAAAAGGTTTAAAAGATAAATTTAATCCCTTTCCAAAGAATTTCTTTTTAATAATATACAAATATTATGTGTAATTTAGTGGGGTTAGAGCTAAACTATATGCATGACAAAGGAAATCTCCTAATTAATATTTGTTAATCTAGTAAAATTTGCTGGACATTAATATTATCACTTTAGGCTATTGAAAGAAAAGAAAAAAAGCATGAAAAGTAACATTTACTTAAAACTATATATATGTACTGCTATAAACAATTGCATTGTCTTAAATTAGTTATCAATCTCTTATTTCAAAAACGTGTAAAGATGGAAAACTTCAAAATAGATGGTGATATGATCATATCAAAAACGCTAACACGCACCGATGTTGACCAACATGGACGTTTGCTTTTACCCAAAAGCCAAGTGCTCACTGTCTTACAAAAGATGAATAATGTTACGCAGGAGAGTTTGCAAAATGGTATTGAACTCGAAGTTCTAGACATGACTAAAAACCATTCATACTCTGTTATCTTAAAATCAAGGAACGCCTCTAATGACTATGTTCTAGCAACGGGTTGGAGCACTTTGAAACATTCATTAGAGCTCAAGGAAGGTGATAATATCAAGCTGTATTGGGATTACTTGAATTACAAATTTATTATTCTCAATTTTGAATACAGCTTAATCCCCTTTTAAAGAGTGATGTGATGGAGATTGGAGCGTATATGTTCGCTCACAACTTTGTTATATTTCCCTATTTAAGTTGCATTCATTATGTTTTCGATTTTATATCTAAATAATAAAGTATCTTACCATTTGCAAATATTTCTAGAACAGTTGGAATATTTAAAGTTTAATAAGAGATGATCATTATGGAAAATTAAGAGCAATTGTTGTATATGAATCATTTAACAATCGTCGGGTATTCTTTTAACTTTAATCTCTAAATATATATTTTCTTTGGGTTCGACCACTACGGATTATAAATTTTGAATGGTATATAAAATACGATCTAATCCACAAACTAATTTATCCGCCCTAACCATCGTAAGTTTGTAACCATGATGAGTGGGAATTAACACACTCTAAAATTTTAGTAGCTAAGTTTCTCTCTAAAATTCACGGAACTCACAACTACGCAGATCTGTTTAACTTTCATAATTATAAGCCTAAGATCATACTTATAGTTTCTGTTCATGAATGTCATACTTTATTTATAACCCCCCCCCCCCCCCCACAATATATGCGTCTATAATTTTACAATCTTAAAGCTTACAAAAGTATAAACTGAAATTTCTGAATTTGAGGCAGAGAGCTTATATTGCCTCTAGAATTTCTCAAATGATGAATTCATTTATTAATGTTTTCTTACAATAGTATTGTCTTTTTGAGATTTATGAGACCAAGCATCATCTCTTAGCAACTGTTACTTTGAGGCCATGTTTCATGTGAAGGACTATGGAAGAAGCTGGCTCGATCTTGTGCCCTTCAACGACCTTAATGTCATAATTTCTTATGATTTCAACAGCCACTATCTTCATCTGCAAGAAAGACAAATTTTTCCCCAAGCAATTTCTTGGACCAGAATTAAACACGAAGAACTTAAAAGAAGGTTCATGTTTTATGCCTCCATGTCTCTCAGAGATCCATCTCTCAGGTTTGAATTCAGACGCGTCTTTTCCCCACACAGCCTTCATCCTCCCCAACGCATAAACAGAAAACAGAATCTTCCAGTTTTCATCGACTTTGTGTCCACTTGGAAGCACATCTTCTTTTATTGGAGACTTCCGCTCGAACGGGATGGGAGCGTAGAGGCGTAAGGATTCACACAATGCACCATGTAAATACACCATCTTGTTTAACTTATCCGCATCTAAACTCATCCCTGATCTTGGTAGACTTGTGTGGTTGATCTCTTGGCGGATCTTGGTCAGAGCGTCAGGGTTCTTGGAGATTAGCCAAAAGAACCAAGTGAGATTTGTTGCAATGGCGTCTCTTCCAGCAAGCATGAAACTCTTGATGATGTCTTTGAGGAAGTTATCATCTGTTGGGTTCAAAAGCTCATACTTGGAAGTGTCTAGTTTCATGAAGACGCTTAACAAATCCTCACCATGAGCTTCTTCTCCAATACTGGAGTGATGAGTACTTATTATCTCCTCTCTCTTTGAAGATATATACTTTGCACATGATCTGTCAAAAGCAGCATTAGCTTCCTTCATCTTCTTCTCTTCTCCAACTCCAATCCAGTTTTGCAGCTTCCACAAGATCATAGGCTTGACATGTCTATACACAACCACTTCTTCAGCATCATCCATAGCTTTGGCATACTCGTTATTAGGCATTTCAATGGAAAGAGAATTTGACTCGGAACCCGTTACTAGAGTAAGGGTTACATCGAATGCTAGCCTCTGGAACACGTCTTGTAAATCGAAAATCTTATTCTCCTCTGCAAAATGATCAAGGACCGGGACAACCCCGTACTTGATTTTGCGCGTGATGGTCCTCAATGAGAAGCTTTGAAACCCTTGATGGCTAAGCACGACCAGTGAGGACTTCCTCATATCCTCCCAGAGTTTTGAGTCAGCAGTGAAGATCCCGTTTCCTAGAAAATCGAACATCTCTTTGAACTCTGGTCCTTTGTCGTAATTGGAGAAGTTGGAGCTGAAAACGTGTTGAATGTTTGCAGGATCTGCAGTGATCAACATGTTCATGCCAGAGAACCACGGGCCTTTGAATACAAAAGTCAAGCTGGAGACCTCGAGAACCTCTGCGACATAGTCGTTAATCCTATGAAGCATGATGAGAACACCAGGAAGCATCCCAAGAACTGGCCAGTTTCTAGGTAAGATACGATGGGGTTTCTTGTGGATCAAGAAATGGAAAAAGATAAAAACAAGAAAAGCTATGCAGAGTTCAAGTAAGCCTACGTAAGCCATTTGTTTAAAAGGCTTTGTGTTTCTTGGATTTTTCCAAAGATAGAGAGACAAGAAACTAAATGGTTTTGGGTTTCTTTTTGTTATATTTATAGAAATATTTAATACTACGTTCATTTAATGAGATGACTCAATGATGTAGTTCAGTAGTTAACTCCAATCTTGTCAGCATGGAGCTAGTTTCTTACCTCGTCCACATTCAGAACTTCATAAGATCTGTCAAACATGTTCATGCATACCTTCATGGCATGGAGGCGCCATGGGTAAAGCCATATTAAATATATATGATGGGTTTACATGTCATCGAGACATTCACATTTATTATCTACATATCGTTTATATCCCTTATATATATATATCCTAATTTATATTAATCATTAGCAAATATAATTAACCAAGAAAAACAACTTAATTCTATAATATTATATCTAGTGTGCTTACCAAATACTATACAAAACAACGTCAATTACATATATTTTGTGCTTAAGAACATTCAAATTGTTTGACCATATAAAACATAAATTTTAACGTACAAACCTTTACGAATCAACTTATCTCATGCATTATCAGGAATATATAAAATACAAATTTTATTTTTTTTCAAATTTTTCTTTTATTTAATTCAAGTTCTTATCCTTTCACCTACAATTTAACTTGATTATATTGTTAACTTGACTATTTAACTTAAGAGTTGGAAACCGTCAAATGGTTGATTCTTGTCCTTATCTAATGAGTTGACCTCCTCGAAATGTTATGGTCAAGGACATGCTTATGCCACTTCTCATTGACTCTCCTATGCTTATTAAATTTTACATTACAACTAACTCATTTTTTATCAATTAGATTTTTCTGAGAGAACTCGAATAGTGAATCCAATATGACTCATGGATGATGTTAGCGTATCACCTTTTAATTAAAAATTATAATTCTTTTAAAATATTGAAAACAAATGTTAAATTTGTTAATGATATAAGGAACACACACTCATCATACAATCACCCAATCACAAATTTCAGAATTTAGTCAAACCGAGTTGTTTCTCTATTATTTTATATGGCGAAACTTTGATAGCATCGGCCGGGTAATTTCAATGAGGCGAACTTGTTGAATTATCACTTGCTCAATATAACTTTTGGTTTCAGTTTGAGATTTTACTTCTATAAGTATATACAATATGATTACAACAGATGAAAGATCATATCTAATTCAGTTAAAATATATATGGCATCGACTTCAAGTGGATTAGAGTTTACATCACAATATAAACAACAAATCAAACAGAGTCAAAAATATATATAAAAAGTGAAATTTGCGGTTTTGGTCTTGTCAACCAATATTAACCGAGTTACTTCTTTGGCGAATGAGTCAACATGACTAAGTCACATAGGAGACCAAGGACATGTATATAAAAATGGGGAAAACATTGGTCATATCATATGAACAAAGTCTAAGCAATGGGCTTTTCCATTCATTCTGATGATACGTGCTTTAAACTTATGATATGTTGTTAGTTACTTAGTTATGTAAAACTACTACTAATTAACTTATATTGACAAATAACAGACAATAATTAATAAATACATATCGATGACCATACTAATGTTGTTAGTTAAACTGTTAATAGTTATTGTATTAGTTGCCACGTTTTTTTATGCCAAAGCGAACTACCACGTTATATTTTAGAAATGACAATCTTGTCTAATTTTATAGAGATCTTTAACTATTTTCCTATGTTATAGAAGTGTTCTTAGATAAACTAATTTTAAAGATCTCAATTTTTTTCTCTTTCTTAGATTTGTTATTAAATAGACTTGTTAGAATTTGACTCTAATGCAAATGGAAAAGAAAAAAAAAAAGAGCTGAAAAATGTTGTAGTTGAGCATATATATGACTGTTAGTATATAAGGTACATTAATTTTCTTTTAAGCTTTAAACTTTGATTAAACATTATTATTTTTTTATCGAACCGAAAGGACCAATTATAAATAAAAAAAGAATACTAATAATTTATTAAACCGTAGTTAATATCTTATTGATGAGTTAATTTAGACTCTAGTTTAAGTACTTTAACAAAGATAAAAAATAAAAATAAAAAGTTTTTGTCCGCTCGTAAGTTTCTCGCGAAAGACGCAAAACCTAAAGCTTCCACGTTGCCACCACGAGCCTCGTCGACCAAACCGGCGCTTCACCACACGACTAACAACGACAAAAACCACATTAATACTCTTTATTTATCTATTACTCAGCTCCACGGCAAAATTTGGCTCACGGACGTAAGCATGGTGACGTATCTTCTCTAACGTCATTTGCCTTCGACCTTCTTCAAAAGAGAGGTTGTGAAATAACTAGCCAATAAGATGCACTTTTAATCTCAACATGCAATAAGATAATAAGACGTACGTACTCAACGTAGCAACAATAACGTCTCGTATTGGTTGCTCCAATTTTAAATGTAAAGTTAAAAAATACTTGTAACAAAAGTTGCGTTTCCTCCTATTAGTTACAGAAAAAAGTCTCACTTTACATGAATCACATGATAGCTTTTTAATCGGCATATTCCAGAATTTTTTGACGTTGAAAAAGATGATACAAGTATATAAACTAATAACCACTGGGAAAAAATATATGACAAATTAACAATGTCTTTATAAAGCATGCATTATTAACCGTGAGGCCGTCTATAGTGTTACCCGAATATGAAATAATTAACTTTATATTCTTATAAATGTGATAGGTGTTTATGTTTGTTTTATATTTTGTGTTGGCAACGCATGCAAAGGTTGGTGTTTGACTGAACTTAATTAAGATGTACGACTACTTGCCCCATAAGGCCATAAGGTATTAGTAATTTAGTATTGCAATTAAAAAATAACAATGGATCGAACTACTTGTGCTATAAGTTTAAGATGCCGTAAAAGATAGAATCAGAGCTATAAAGATATCTTTTAAATAAGTTTTGTCACTTTTTTTTGTTAGGCCAAAGTTCAAAACAGAAACAAACAAAAAACAAAAAACTAATGAGACGTGGTCCCAAAGTGATGAATTTGGTTTTCTAATTACACTTCCTCTCAAGTTGATAGCTCTTATCAGCTAAAATCAAACTGAATCCACTCTAAGATCAACAATTAATATAATATTCTTGCTTAAAACCATCCTAGTTAGATCAAACTAAGCTCTATATATACCATATTTATTGGTTCATAGTGGTTCATATCTTATGAGAGCTAGGTTTATTAACTCTATACCATACTTATTGGTTCATATCTTGTGAGATCTAGGTTTCGGTTAAGGCTTTGGAGCCCTCCCCCACCATCATTGATTCGTTTGCTAGGTACATCCACTCGAAATCTAGCTTTGATTAAAAGAATAAAAGTGATTAATTAGTGTCATATTATTACGAAGGGACCCGTGATTGTTACATGCATTTTTTTACTCGAGCATTTGATTGGACAACACTTCGAAAACTTTTATTTTTCTATAGAACCTTAAAGATTAAGATGTGAAAAAAGTAAAAATTTCCCACTTTATGGGTACTTTATTTTTAAAAAATAAATGATAATAATAAAGAAAAATTAACTTGTCGCTATAGCAATTCCATTCAAGAAGCTTCGTTGAATATACGCACGAAAGTAGCCATGAAAGTTATTTTTAACTTATTTAAAAGCAAATAGACTTTTATTTTATTAATGATATTATTATTTTTCTTTAGATCTTTGCAGTATAAATAAACAGTATCAGCCTAACAAGATCTCTCCTCCTCGTAGCTTAACCAGGCTAAAACACAAAACAAGCTTCTTAAAGAAGAAAAAGAAAAAAAGAAAGAAACTAAAAAATGAACTACCCTTCAAACCCTAACCCTAATTACACAGATTTCACTGAATTTTTTAAATTCGATGATTTTGCGGATTCATTTGATATGATCATGGAAGAAATAGGCCGTGAGGACCACTCTTCGTCGCCTACTTTGAGTTGGACTTCATCGGAAAAAATAGTAGCTGCAGAAATCACAAGCCCGTTTCAAACAAGCCTAGCTACCTCACCTATGAGCCTTGAAATGTAAGTCAACTTTTTATACCATACATCATAGCTTAGTTCTTGATGAATGTTATGCTAACAGTGATATTAACCAGCTGATGATTTTATATATAATATATAGAGGTGACAAAAGTCATGAGATCAAAAAGAGGAAGAGACACAAAGAGGATCCCATAATTCAAGCATTCAGAACGAAATCACCTGAAAAAGATGCTTTAGATGACGGCTACAAATGGAGGAAGTACGGCAAAAAGCCAATAACGGGCACTCCATATCCGAGGTAAATATCATTACTTCTAACTTCGTACTTTACCATATACATATACTTGTTTAGTTGTTTATTCGACAACTTGGTTATTCTAGTTGCATATGCTATATAGTTTGTGTTGATTTGAGTATTGCAATGAATGTTTCCACTTGATGAATTTGGAAGCAGAGAGTAGTTAATTGTCAAATGGACAACTTGAGACAACAACTAGCTAATAGTCGAGGATATACAAGTTAGTTACTCCTCTTTTCGCACTAAGTTAATATCAGTTAGTTAACAGACAGACAAAACCCCTTTTTTGTTGTTGTTGAAAAGACATACAAAACCTTGTTCATAAGTTTAGCTAGAAGTAATTAAGATAAAACCAACTTCTAGTACATGATACTTTCATTGCAGAACTTAATAATTGATGATTTATATCACTTCTAAAAATAAAATTAGTTCTAGCTAGTTCTTACTACAAAATCCTAGTACATAGAAATGATATTTTGCTTTTGATAATCACTACATTTATAAGAATAGTTCACACTCCTTTCTGACTTTAGACTAAAAAGTACTTGATCTGATATCAAATAGTGATCTAAACCTTCATTCAAACTTTACATGCATGTGTGGATAAAGTATCATATAGAATATGGTTAGTGTTCCATCTTTAGTGGAGGTGTTTCTTGTCCAAATGCATTTTTCTACAAATGTATGGTTTATACGTGTTGAAGCCAACATGCATATATATGCATGTACGATCACCAAAAATATATACAATATATATACGTCGCGGTGTTAATTTGTTAGCCTTACTTGTATTTCCATGTGGAGCATGTGTCACGGATATATACATAATAAGAATATACATATCAATAAGGCATAACATCTATTGAATAGAAACTAAACTATTGTCACAAGTTGTGATATACGCTTATAACAAATTAACACTTGAGATTATCATAATTCATGAGTTCTTTCTTGTATGGTACCTTTAATTTCAAGTGGACTCACAAACGACAATACTATCGTTATGCAACCAATCATTGGACCACACAATATATTATAATCAAACTGCATGTTACATTGGAAATCTTATAAAATCTTTTAGAGTTTTAAGAAATTATTAATTAATGCTCAATTTTTATAAATTATACAGGCATTATCACAAGTGTTCGGACCCTGATTGCAAAGTGAAGAAGAAGATCGAGAGAGATACGAGCGATCCAGATTACGTATGGACAACGTACGAAGGGATACATAACCACCCGAGCCCTTCTGTAGTTTACTGTGAATCAGATGACTTTGATCTTACCTCCCACAACAATTGGTGCTTTCAAACAAATACGTATGGTTTCTCTCATTCTGCTCCAAACTGATCATAGTTACCAAGTCTCTGTGTGTATATATATGTATATAGTTTATGTCACCGTCGTAATTACGCATCACATGTATCCACATATACCTTGTTGGGTCGGTTTTGGTCGGTTGTAATGTATTTAGTTGGTGGGGTTGTAATGAACGTTGATCATCTTGCATGTAAAGGTTTAATTGTAAATTTTTAATAATAGAAACTAATTAATTTGTACATGGACCTCTCTAATTCTCTACAATGAGAGACATTTGTCAATCACAAATGGATTAGTCGAAAATATTTTGATTTGATCAAAACTATATTGTCAATGAAACTGAATTTTCAATATCCATCGAAAATCTCAAATAACTATACCTATTGGCATATTTTAGATTATCCACATCTATCAAATACGTACTAATATTTGATTATGTAAACCTGTTTTACCCTATTTGATTTCTTAATCATTTTTCTTATACAAAATATCTTGTTAACTAAAAACAATAGAAAATAATGGGCCTTTTTACTTGTATTTAAGATAAACCTAAAGGTAGGCTAAGCACTTTGGCCCATAGCTAATATGCATATGCTCATCTTGTAAGCCATATTAGAGCTAAAAACCAAAACAATTAGTTAAAAAGTTTTACTACTAGGTTTCATTTTGTATTTTAAACTTAACCTAATCAACCAATTAAAATTACCAACGTTAAACTCAAGCACAATATTTTATTTCTCTTAAACCCATAAATTACAATAACAACAACAACAACAAAATTATAAAAATATAATAGTACGTTTTATAAAGTTGGATTCTGATTTAGTGGTTTCTATTAATAGAATATATCTTGGCCTTTAGCATATTAGCAAAAGAAAAGAAAAGAAAAAAAAGAACTTGATACTACGTATTCTCCCCTAGCTCCCCCTTAGATTACCATATTCCATATACAATATAAACAAAAATGAAAAATCACATGTAAACAGATATTTATATGTTTTGACAGCTACATGATATGATTTGTCATGCCAACAACCAAAATGCAGATATGAGATACTTGTGAAGGCAAGCACGATCTGGTCGACACACCTTATCAATAAATGTCAAAATGACATCTCCATTATCCAAAATATCTTTTTTTCTTAATTGTTTTTTTCAAACTTTTTTCACTATTTCATTATCTATTTCGACAATTATCTCTTTTTTTCAAATAGCTGAAAAATACATTTTTGAAACTTTGAACCATACTTTTACTTTTTTTTTTAAATGTTACCACACGATAGTAATTGAATATTATTGTTGAGACTAATACTATAAGCGAGATATCCACACACGTATTCATTGACTTTTAATTGACAGCCAAAGAGCTAATTTACAATTTCTTGTTCTTCTTTTTATAACAATTTTAATATCTTATAACCAAAATAATAATATTTTTTTGCCGAGTATGAGCTAATTACTAATGACTCAGCGACCAAATATAGACACAGGTTAATGAAAATTGTCAGAAAAAAAACAAAGGACAACTCAATTCTCCTGTAAAATCAATGATTGAAAAAAGAAAAAAAAAATACTGAAATCTATTTTTTTCTTGTCAACAACAATTAAATTAAAAAAGGTCTAAAGAGTTTTTAGATTCGGATTCGCTGGATTGGCCTAACTATTTTGCTTTTAGTTGGCAAAGGATTCACATGTCTTCTTTCTTCTCTTCACATCATCAAACCAATATATCATCACAACACGTGACAACTTCTTCTTTTCTTTTGTCTTTTTCCTTTCCTCCCCCACAAGACAGAAGACATAAGAAGAAGAAGGAGATCATCAAGACCGATCTTGTAGACTTTTTGTCTCTGTCCGAAAACAAAGAAAGAAACCTTTTTCCAGTAAAGAAAAGAGAACAATCTCATAGGTTCTTGAGCTTTTCTTGACCATGGATTCCTTGAAGAACAGAACATTGCTTAAGGTCATTGTTCTTGGAGATAGCGGGTAATTAATAATTTCTCATCTTTTCTAATTGATCTTGATCTTTCTTGCTTCTGTGTTTCTTTTTTTTGGTTTTGTTCTGAATCTTTATTTATATATGCAGGGTAGGTAAAACTTCTTTGATGAATCAGTATCCTTGATTAGTTAAACATTTTAGTTCAATTTTTAAAAAGTCAAGTTTCTGTATTAGATCTGTGTTTATGTGGTAACCTTGACTTGTGACTTAAGATACGTGTACAAGAAATTTAACAAGCAATATAAGGCCACGATCGGAGCTGATTTCGTCACCAAAGAGCTCCATATAGAAGACAAATCTGTAACCTTACAGGTAACTAAGTTGATATATATCATTCATTTGACCATTTATTTCACAATTTGATCTCTTTTTTTATGCCATGAGATGAGACTCTGTTTGTTTTTTATTATAGATATGGGATACTGCAGGACAAGAGAGGTTTCAGAGTCTAGGAGCTGCGTTTTACAGAGGTGCTGATTGTTGTGTTCTTGTGTACGACGTGAACAATCTCAGATCTTTCGAAACTCTCAACAATTGGCACACTGAGTTCCTCAAACAGGTTTTTTTGCCCTAACGGTTCCTTTTTCTTGTGCAAGAAGTTACATTTTACCACGCAAATCTTTTTACAAGTATGACATATATCTTCTAGGCAAATCCTATGGAACCTGAGACATTCCCCTTTGTTTTGATTGGGAACAAGACCGATGTAGATGGTGGAAACAGCCGAGTTGTAAGCTCGTATTCATAAATCTCCTCTTCAAACCAATAGTATAAAAACCCTAACTTCCGCAAGTATACATATGCAGGTTTCAAATAAGAGAGCACACGAATGGTGTGGCTCAAAGGGTAACATACCATACCATGAAACATCTGCGAAGGAAGATACCAATATCGATGAAGCTTTTTTGGGGGTTGCACACATTGCTCTCTCCAATGAACATAAACAAACCAATGACATGTGAGCTACTACTATATAAAGATCCAACTCTTTCTAGGTTAACTCTATGAAGATTATCATGTTTAAATTTTATTTTGTCTCTTTTGATATTTGCAGATATCCTAGAGGTGTATATGACTCTGTTACTGACATTATTGATCCAGATCAGAACAGAGGTTGTGCTTGCTAATTCATACTTAACATATCTGATCAAATAAGTATTGAGTACCACCAGCTTTTTTATTTTCAGTCTTTTGTTTTTTTTTGTAACTTTTTATTTATTTTTTGGTTTAATATCAATTATAGAGGTTTATCAATTGATATATTGCTACGTTCTGAGTGTTTTTTTATGCATGTAAATCACTAATTAATTTTGTATTTCATTTCTGTAAAACTTTTTGTTGATACAAAACTCAACTCATCATTCAATAATCTCATTTTTTTGCTTCTTTGAAAGCGTAACGTTTATGTTTGCATGTTTAATACAAAAACACATTATTGGAATCTACAAAAATCTTTGAAAATTTTAAAATCTCTACAACTTTTAAAATCCACAAACTCTTTTAGATTCAACATCCCGATAACCCCCCATATATTAGTCCACCTCTTTGCGCAACAATTTTTTTAATGATCTTTTTAATAGGCTCAACCGTTTTACTTTTTTTTTTGTATTTCTCTTTAATGATCTTTTTTTTTTTTTTGCTCTCTCTCTCAACCAATTTTGTATTGGATGTACGAAAAAAAAAAACACTCTTCTTCTCTCTTGTTGAGAACATTATGTTTGAAATATAATCATTAAACCATAAAACAACAACCAACTTTGCTGTTTAATTCTTAGTTGCAACTCATTTTCAATTATCTAAATTTTGATAAGCGGTTTGTGAATTTTCAACTCATAGATCAATTGATAATATGGGAAATTCCTAGCATGTCTTTTCAAGATGATTGGTTTCTCTAGTCTCTTTCGAGTCGAAACTCACTTTAATATTGGCAACGTAGTTAAATCTTATATATCGATAGTTATTCATGGAAGTTGGTTTGTCGGAGAATGTTGTTATTGCAGAATTTTTGGCAAGTCTTTGTAGGTTTAAACATTGGGAAGCAAACTAATTAACTCAAATTGTTTTCTTGATGGGGCTTTTATTCCTTCTACCAAGTTCTCAATACATGGACCAATTCTTAAAGCATGGTCAAGATGGCGTTCAAGAAAAGCAAAAATAGTAGAGTTTGTCTTTCCGGTGGTTTATTAACGTGATGCGTATATCATATAGAAGAAGACAATATGACTAGACGACGAAGAGCCATGTATTTCAAAGAAGGAGCCTGGAAAGAGATGGTCGAGTTTTTTTTGTACCAAGTATGGAAGCAATCACACGTGCCCGATTTGATATATGATGAGGTTTGATGAAAGGTGGTTCAAGAAAGTAAAATCGATTCTCTAGGAGAGTGAGTTGGAGATTTTGGGGAGACATATGTTTTGAATATGAGAGTAAGAAGTGATTTGTTGAATCGTGAATATGGCAAAGTAAATGGATTGGGAGTGGTAATATATTGCATGATCATGGATAAAGTAATGGGACTCGCTCGGGGTTGAAGGTTGTGGTGACCAAAACATATATATATATTTATATGTTATAATACCGTTGTCGATTTATTTTATTTTTAATTAATTACCTTTTGGTATAATCTATTTAATTATTGTTATTACTAACTAAAATAAAATTTGAGGGAATGAATATATAATCATTTTGCTCTTATCCGTTTAGTTTTAGATGATCTGCATTGAGTTAAAATTTGGTTTATTATGATGAATATAAAATTAAATTGTATTGCAAAATGTAGTATTGGTTTTCTATTTATTTTTACATCCACGTAAATATGTTGGCTCTTATCTATCTAGTAAACTAATAAAGAAGAGATTATCATTTGAATTGAAAAGAACAGAGGAAGTGGTAAAGGTTAAATATATTCATGTTGATAATATCATTTTTTTTTTCATATTTGTTTTCCTAATTTCTAATATATTAGGTCAATAAATTTTAGAAATTTCATGTTGAGTATATATAAAATCTAATTAAGTATAATATAATAAATTTATTTATTATCAGCTAAGTTCACCAAAACCTTAATTGTAGTCGAGCTAAGGTGAAAATTGAAAATATCTTACGTTAATTAGTAATAGAATAAAAATTTGCACATTATTTGTATTATGTCATTAAAGCTCACATTAAAAAATTCCAGTTTATTGACCCTAAAAAAAATTGCAAATTTATTGTAAATGATAGATATTTACTTTTAAAAACTCACTATATATGAGTGGATATAGTATGGCAGTCTTGGTAAATATTTTTCTATACAAACAAATTCTTATATAAATAACGAATTTAAGCACTATGAATATATTGAAATATAAAGGACTATTTGTATACAATTAAAATTGAATTTAAAAGAATTGGGATTATTTGCATGTAAATCCAAGAAACAAAAATACATGAGAGGTAAATATTATTACATCAAATTGTTGATAAAAACTAACTTTTAATATATTATTTGGTTTTCTTAGGCAATGTTTAGATTAAATGAATTACTGGAAGAGAGATACCGAACCTCGTGCACTTGTGCGCGTATTTTATGCAAAATGGTTCTGAGGTGGTATCATCACATGCCATCAATACGGCATTGCATCAGTGAAATTGAAATTTGTGCCTCCCGACTTCTATTATCCCAAGCTTCTTTTGCTAAATCAATAGACATTCAATAAAATCAGATTCAAAAATAAAACTTTTGAAGTGTTTTGTAACAAAAAAAAATTGAGAAATTTCTCAAAATAGCACATTATATGTTTTTTTTTTAAAGAAATACCACTATTACTTATTATTTTCGAATTTTTACTTTTCTAACAGTACATCAAACACAAATATTGGTGCATAATTCTTTTTCTTTTTGGATTCATAATTTTATATTTAGGTTTTAGTTTATAGATGTAATATTTAGTATTCAAGATTTAAGGTTTAGTTTTGAATGTTCAAACTCCAGTTTTTATTTTGTGGTTTAAAAGAAAGTTTTTTAATAATAATTTTTAAACATAAATTTGATAATGATATATCAGAAAAAAAAAACTTATTTTACTGGTATTGCCTGTAATAATATTACTATCATAAATAATTATATTAAGGTTCAGATATCCGGAATAAATCTCAGCCGTTGATTATCTACTGTAAACAACGATTGTGAATCTTGATTCTAAATCTAATAAAGTAATTGGAAGGAAAATAAAAAATAAAAAACCTCAGCCGTTGATCGTAATCAACGCTGTACAATTAAGCTGGACTCCGTAAAAGAGCGAGCGACTAGTTTACCCAATACTTCCCCTTCTCGTTACTTCAGCTCCGTCTCAGATAGGGATCTCAAAAACACACCACAAACCCTAATTTCGTCAACTCTTCACAGATTCGATTCGATTAAGAAAATGGCGTACGCTTCTCGCTTCCTCTCCAGATCTAAGCAGGTACACTCTCTCCCTCGATTCTTCTGTATCATCCGAATCCGAATGCGACATTTGCTTATCGTTTGTTTTTGATTCCCCTTTTCGGTTTTACCTGATTTCTGGGTTTTATGTGTGTTCGATGCGATGATTTGTGTGATGAGATTACGGATTTGATGCTATCTATATCACCGAATCACATCTTAGGGTGTGCCATTTCTATGCCGTTTTCGAATTTTTAGTATCTTCTGTACAATCTCGCTTGATCGGAGAGTTTTAATAGAGTCTTGTACGATATCGATTTCTATGTTGATCGCTGATACATTTCTAAGTGAAGTGCTTACAACGACGATAAGATGATGATTTGCAAAAAATGTTTCTTATCAAAACTTGTGGAAGACCGAGACGTTTCTGATTTCATTGATTAGCTGCAACTTGTCTTACTCCCATTGTGCAGCTACAGGGAAGTCTGGTTATTTTGCAGCAGCAACATGCTATTCCAGTCAGAGCCTTTGCGAAGGAAGCTGCTCGTCCAACATTTAAAGGAGATGGTATTGTGACAAAACTGTGCTTTGCTGTTTTGTATTAAAGATTATATGCTACTTTCACTTACACCCTTCACTGAGTTTGTTGTTTTTGGCTGTATTAATTTTTTGAAAATAGTTGCTGTCCTTTGTTTAATCCCTTCATGCTTTGGATTTAGCATTGTGTCTAGTTAAGAAAATGTTAGGTCACTTTCTCGAGATGAAATGTGCCGAAAAACTATATTGGTCACTGAAATGTAATCTTGTGAAACCCAGGCTGTGATTGCTAGGACTGTTGCTCTGCTAATTATCTTGTGAAGAAGTTGATTTATCTCTTTACTTCTCTGTATCTTTTGTGTGTGTTTAGAGGGGACAAGCATTGCTGTTTACTATTATTGACTTGAGTTTTACATTATTTGACAGAGATGTTGAAGGGTGTCTTTTTTGATATCAAGAACAAATTCCAGGCTGCAGTTGATATTCTCCGAAAGGAAAAGATCACCCTTGCTCCAGAGGACCCAGCTGCGGTAAAACAGTATGCAAATGTAATGAAGACCATCAGGCAAAAGTAAGCCTCTTGCTGTTCCTTTGGAGATGTTTGTTATTTAGCTTGGATGTATGTTGATGTCCCTAATACTGTTTGTTGGAATTTCCTGGTTTTACCTTTCTGATTTCCCTGAAGCGAATTTCACATATGTTTCAGGGCTACCATTTAACGTTGTTAATTTGGATGTTTGTCCTGCGTTTTTTTGCTCTTTAGGGCAGACATGTTCTCAGAATCTCAACGCATTAAACATGACATTGAGACCGAGACTCAAGATATTCCAGATGCTCGTGCATACTTATTGAAGTTGCAGGAAATCCGCACCAGGTAGGTGTTAGACTTTGAAGTTGTTTCAGTCATCCGTTTGGATAGTTTTCCCTCACCCATCAAGTTGCACCCTGTAGTATCTTGAATGTGATTGTTCAGCAATTATTTGAAGAACTGCTTTATATTATTTATTATCTTCCTATTTCCCAATTGGTTGCAACATAATGAAAATTGTTAAAAACAGTCTTTTGAGTTATTCTTCTGCTTGGGATATATCTTGCAGGAGGGGGCTTACTGATGAGCTTGGTGCTGAGGCCATGATGTTTGAGGCTTTGGAGAAAGTCGAGAAGGACATAAAGAAGCCTCTCCTGAGAAGTGACAAGAAAGGAATGGATCTTTTGGTTGCAGAGTTTGAGAAAGGCAACAAAAAGTATGTCATCATTCTTAAACCACCCATACAAAATAATAATAAATCTCAGCTCGATTTGCAAATGATAACTAATGTGCATGTTTACATGTCATTAATCTGAACAGGCTTGGGATTAGGAAAGAAGATCTTTCTAAATACGAGGAAAATTTGGAGCTCAGCATGGCCAAAGCACAGTTGGATGAGCTGAAGAGTGATGCAGTTGAAGCAATGGAATCTCAGAAAAAGAAGTAAGTATTGCCATTTGTTTCTCATTCATCAAGTCTTTGATCTCTCATCTATATATCATCATAACATGATGATGGGGATTTTGCAGGGAGGAATTCAATGATGAGGAAATGCCAGACGTGAAGTCTCTGGACATCCGTAACTTCATCTAAGGTTTGAACCTAAGAAACATTTGATTTGTTGTAAGAAGAAAAAGGCAGAAGAAGATGTTTGTTTTGTCTTCAAAGAGAAGAAGATCGTTCCCCTTACCGCTTCTGTTTTGGTTTGGCATTTAAATAAAAAAGGTCTCACCATGAATTGGAATACCCCAAATTTGTTCTAACTTTCTCCTGTGGTTATTACGCTTTTGAGATTTTTAGACACAAAGGTGGTTTCATGTTTTTGATAATGGTGATAAATGATATTTGACATCTTTAAATAATAAAGTTTTTTTGGTAACAAACCGAATCAAATAATGTATCTAAAATCTAAGTGAAATGTCCAATGTTTTTAAACCAACCATAAGGCAACACGTGGCGAAGTTATATACAATTATAACAAAGGGTGAGAGACCGTTATTGTATGTATGTAAATTGGCCACCACACCATGGCGATTTCTCTCAAAGCAGCTTCTCTTCCCGGAACGAGAGAGTCTTCTCCTTTCCTCACTCGATTCGTCCCTCGTCGTGCGGCGTTCTCTCCGGTTAATTTCTTCCGGAAGTCTCGTCCTTTCTCAGATGACGCGTCGTACTCCAGGCGGAGAATCATTGTTCGCTCGGTTTTGGAGACGGAGAAGAGTAGGAAGACAGAGAAGCCTGAGCCTCCGGTGAAACTGGTTGCTCTCGTCGGTAAAGGAGCAGTAAGCCCACTCAAATCCACTTCCTGGGAAGAAGTTATGCTCCACACCGTAAGTAATTTTGTATTAATCTCTCTCTCTCTCTCGCTTAACAATTGTTGTCGATTCGTATAATTTGATTACAGTCTTTTTCGTGTGTTTTTTGGCCATTTAACAGGCAAGAAGACTAAAATGGGTTGATGAAGGATACGAAATGCTCGTTTTTGATGATGAAATTTTGATTGCAAATGATCAGAGAGCTTTGATGATGAAACAGGAACTGAATCAGACTGATATCTTGGTTTTAGTTGCTGTTACTAACTCAGAATCTGTGAAGTGGGTTCAGGAGAACAGCAAAAGTATCAAGAACATGATTTGCTTTGAGTCGTCTTCAGATTTGATGAACAGGCTTGGAGGGACTGATATTGGAAGCGTGAATAAAGATAAAGAAGCGACAGAGGTTGTGAAGACAGTGGGAGATGCTTGGGAACGTCGAAACTCTGATGATATAAGGTTTTGTTTGCTTGTCATCATCAACGCTTACATAAGACCTGTTCCTGTGTTGCAAAACTTGAGGTCTAAAGGGTTTTCGACGCTTAGTTGTATGGTTAAAAACTGTGGACCTCAGATTTTGAACTGTCTTTTGGATCCGAATTGTCGAAAAGCTCTTCAGTGTTTGAACCAATGTAGTCCTGTGGATCAGGTGTGTAGCTACAGATGCATTGCTTCTTATGAGAGTCCGTACTTTGAAGCTTTCTCTCTTTGTGTACTACAGAAACACAATTGTTTAGAACTGGATGCAAAGATCCCTGAGAAGCCGTATGTGCCTCCCATGACGACTTTTCGAGGGAAGGAGTTATGTCATGATACAGCGGAAGACTTGTTTGTTGGATGGTTAGGGGAATTGGATTGGAGCTGGCGTGTCGTGGCTGGACAAAACCCGGCTTATGATCAGTTTCCTTGTCAGTACCAGCTATTCTACCGAGGAAAAGGAAAGTCCGCGTTTTGGTATGAGCCCGTGTTCCAGGTGAGGACGCTTGAAGAGAAGCTGGTTTGGAGAAGGAGAAGATACTCAGTTAAACAAGGAAAGATTCCTGCAACATTCCGTTTCAGCGTTTTGGACAATGGTGTGGTATCAAATGAGTTTTGGACGATAGTGGATGTGTCTGACGATCTAAGTTGGGGACTGTTCCATTACAATGGAGCAGCTCGTGTAGCGGGACAGTCTTACACTGGGGCTGTGCTCGTGACACCAGATGGTTCCTACCCGGCAGAGAAAGAAAAGGAGAGATTGCAGTCAGCATTGGAGAAATGTGGGATTAAGGAGTGGGAGCTCTTTGCTGTTGATAACTGTTCTTGTGAAAATCCACCATTGGGGATTCCACAAGGTTCTAGACTACATTCAAAAATCAGCATCATCAAGCAACCTGATTCGGAAGAAAATTTCAACTAATTTTGCACTGTGTTAGTCACTGTTTTTTCTTGTAAATTCAACAGTGGTTCATACACTGATATACACCAGCATCAAACTTGGCACTCTGAAAAAGTAAACACAAATCAAAACAACAAGACATAAACCTCACAAAAGGTAAGTAGCCTTCCTTAGTTCACCAATACCGTCTTTGGTCATCATCTGTTGAAACAAACATAAGAATAAAATGAAAAGAAGTTGATAATGCATATATAAGATTAGAATAACGAAAGTTAGCGTTACCAAACTAAGACTTACTTTTCAACACTTCCACGAGATTTCGTTCTAGGTACATAAGATAGATGTCTCTTAATTGATCCTCTTCTGTTGCAGCTTCACGGTCATCCTTTATGACACACATAAAAGCAACATAAACATTGAAAGTTGAAAATAAAACAGAACAAGACAATATGACTGATAAAAATGTTTACCGTAGACATTATGCATTTGAGGTGAAAGAAGTCGCGACAGTGTTTGCATGAGTAGTAGACATTGGAGCATTTGCTTCCGGATACTCTCCTAATCCCGATATCTTCTCCACATCGAATGCAGCAACCCGGCCCGAAAACACTGCGATTTTCTTCCACAAGAGAATGTTGATGTCGTTGGTTCTTCACATTTGATGGAAACCCAATACACTCTGCATGGACGTTGAAGTCACAACTAATACATCCGTAGAACGACACACCACAAGGTTTGGCGCACACACGGCATGTTCGCGTGATCGTCAAGTCAGCAATCCAAAAGTGATAGAAATAATGGCTGTGAGGGTTAGGCTTGATCTTTGCTGGCAATCTCACCGCTTTGATGCATTTAATATGGAAACTGATTTCGCAAGTGGAACAACGATAGCCGTACTTTTTAATATCCAGCTTGCATATTCTGCATTTGGATCCACTTACTAATGAAACTCCAAGATCGTGATCAGGGTGAATAGGATGATTGAATCCTATTTGCCTCTCAACTTCAACACACAGAGGATGATATACATCTTCACACACCATACAGGCAACAAGTGAGTTTTGTATGATCATACGTTCCTCAAATGTTGTAAGATCAAGCGATGACATGTGTACGGTCTTGTCTTTACCACACACCTTATCTTCACAGATAGCACATGTCATGGGATATGAGTTTGAGACCATAATTCGATCCAACTGATGCTTTTGTTGAATGCATCTACTCCCTTCCCAGCTTCCAATGATTTTTTGTCCCCTTTGTGACTCTGTAAATTGATGCTTACCTCTGTATATGCAATTGGTATGGATGATGAAACTGCATAGCCGACAAAAGAGATTGAACCCTTCTATATCGTATGTGCAAATGTTACAGTTCATAGTAACTCCTGCACCTGCAGGGACCTTTGGCAAGAGTGTCAAAGGATGGTTATGAACTCGATGCTGTAATGGTCTCCCTAGCTCCGCGCAGAACTTATGCGCCTGGAAGTTGCATGTCTCGCATTTACAAGGGCTACCAAGTATTTTTGTTTTGCATATGTTGCACTTTGCTCCTTCATCAAGTTCACTGAGCTCGACGAATCTCATCACATGAATATGCCCCTTCATACTATTAACCTGAATCAATAAAGGGCCTAAGGTTCTACACTCTTTTTCTTGTTTACTCATCAGTTTATATATTGATTGTAATGAGGATCCATACCATAAGTTTTGTTTCTAACTCATTGGTGTAGTGGTCTATTTGATCTGTTGAACTTGTGTTGCCTTCTTTGCTACAAGAGTAAAGATCTTTCAAGTATAATGGGGAAGGCACTTCCTGTAGATTAGAATACAAAGTAGATCGTCTTCAAGACCAACAACATTACAGATTTTTTTTTTTTTAAAAAAAACAGAATGAAATGTTGATTACCTTGCGTAGTATGCATTCAATGTGGCCTAGAAAACCACATTCTTGACAGGAATAAGCATGATGTCCTGCGTATACCATAGTCTCGCAAACGCCACAGTACTCCAAAAAATCGTCATGATCATGTGGGAGCAATTTGCATTCAAGTGGATGAATGTGATGAGATTTCTCAACCACAAACTCAGGTATCTCAAGACACTCGAAATGGAAAACCATACCACATTCTATGCAGCAATAAAAAGAGTCAAGAGATATCACATTGCATCTCCTACATATTTCACATTGATAGTTTTGTTTGAAACTTATGTGAGATTTAGTTCTATAAACCAACTTATGCGGATGAGACTTGTGCATAAAACCTCGCAAATAGGAATCTAAACACCTCAAGTGAGCGTCGAAATCGCATTCTTGGCAACCAAACGGGACACTAGCAATCTTGTCTCCGCATATATCACAATAACTAGTTCTTGTGTAATCAAGGCGTTTGAGAGGATGTGCAGGATGCACAGGATGATGTGAAATCTCTCTTGTGAAATCAATACAGCGTTCATGAACAAAAGAGTAGCAATGAACACAACCATAACATATTGAAAAGGAAGAGAGGGGAAGCTCACAGAGAAGGCAAGAACCTCTAGCGTCAGGTCCTGGTCTACACCTCTTAAGCAAGTGGCAATGACTGTAATGAAGCAAGTCTTTGTTTTCCCAACCCCTGAAGATGTTATCACTGAGGGCACAGCCCATATCCAAGTAGATCTCACACTCTTCACACTTGTAAAAAGAACCAGAAGACATGTTGCCACACCCGGAACAGAGGATGTGTCCAGGTTTCTGATCAAACTGATGCAGACAAAACTCTAGAGGATGATCCGGATGGAAATCGTGTGAGACCTTGTGTGGTAGATGAGAGCAAGCTTTGCAGAGATTGAAATCGCAAGGGTTACATGCTAACTCGACAAGTTCATCTTTGTAGCAAATGCTGCAAATCCCATCGGCGACGGTCTTTGGAGAAGTCAACGGGCATTCATGGGAGAAGTGCTGCAGCTCTGCCATCAAAGTCAACGTGAGAAAATGGAGATGAGATCCCAAGTTTTTTTATTGTTACAATTTAAGATAGTGGGAGATGGGTACAAATCACGAAACATAAAAAATTGTTCATTTGTTTTATATATAAATCGTACACAACGACTAGAAGTAGGTTATATATTTATTATTTAATCTATCTTAAATGTAGGAATACATTTTTTTTAAAAAAACTTAAAAGTACTTGAACTATTTTTTATTTGGACCTGATTTTTTTTGTTGGAAGAATAATACTCAAAATAATAAAAGCAGAAGTTTGTCCAAAAAAAAAGAAAAATAATAATAATAATAAAAACGGATAAATTAATACTTAAATTATTAAATATTGTCATTTTCCTACCTACAATCTCTCAAAAAGAAATTTCAATTTTACTATTATTAAAGCATAAATGACATGTAATTAATTATAATTTTATTTTAAGAATAATATTTGTTAGTAATATTTCATTGTATCATAAATTTATATATTTAATTCAAAATACATATTTCAAATTTCATTTTTATCCAAAAAATATTAAGAGATCGAATGAAAGATTTATTTTGAATTATATATTTCATATACAAGATATATATTTCATTTTTATCCAAATATTTTTTCTAAAAAATCCAATAAAAGATATATATATATATTATGTGTTCTTTTATATATATATATATGGTTATTTATGTTTTGACAGAAAATAAAATAAACAGGATATGTTGTAAAAACATGTTTACTAGAATAATTAAGTAATTAAGTCTTATGAACTATCTGATATAAAATTTATTGGATGTTTTTATGGTCATTTAATAATTGTATGTGTTTTATGATCATCTGTATTATGCAGATTTTTATCTATTGAATTATCAACTGAAACAAATAAGTTTAGAGAATTTGACATGATAGATCAAGGATAGTTATGCTATTAAGACAAACTAAGATAATAAGTTCTGCTACAGTTTACGACACTAACTATTCTAACACACAAGTTGCAAAAGTCAGGATGGTGTCATCTAAAACTTACCAGACAACCAAACCAAACACACAAGTTGCAAAAGTCAGGATGATTCAAAAGAGTACAAAGTTCCATCGACTATGTAAGACAAAGAGACCACATGAAAGCTAGGCACTAGTATAATAACATAGATAGTTCAATCATTTTACTGTAAGAATTCAAGCCAACGAGTACAAGTGGTAAAGTCTAACACAGTAATCATCAGTGTGTGATGCAAAAGTTGTGTCACCAAGGATTCAGAGCATAACATGAAACAAATTCATTCATGACTCAAGTAACATACTACCATAATCTGCGTGAGAGTCAGCTACATTCAAAATCGATGCATACATACATGCATGATGCATCCATTTCATAAAACAAAATACTTTATGATATCTTCAGTTAGTGTATAGTAAAGACTCAAGCAAAAGGGTACGATTTTTAGAATCTAACACTGTAATCATTCACTGATAAAGCAAAACTACAAAATGTCGTTTCACATGCTTAAAACAACACCAAGGGCAGATCATAACGCAAAACAAATACATTCTGAGATTCAATAATACTGTTACCATAATGTGCAGAAATATCATATACGTTCAGCATACATATCTACAGGAGATGCCGAGATGCATCTATTTTATAGTATGAAAGAATTTATTATACATAGAAACAGCAAAACAATCACCAAAGATAGAGCATAATGCAAATCAAATACTTACAAGATTCAAGAAAACTACAATCATAATCTGCAATCAAACGGTGTATTTCTTAAAAAGACTTCTTAGTAATAATATTGGACTCATTTTGGGGTGAGAAATGAGAATTATCTTCTTGGAGAGAAACTTTAGGAAGAGAACAACGAGAGATTAAAATATTTCAAGTCCTATCTACATCCTCCATGCATACTCATAATCAATCATAGACATTAGTACATATATAGTACCCTGGCCTTAATTTAAGATGGACATACATTCAAATTGAATCAGTTTACCATGCCAAGTTGCTAACTATTCCAAGAGGCAAGATGCAAAAGTCGATTATGAATAATGAACAAAAAATTTCCAGACTACCAACTAAAATGCAAGAAATGTGTACATGAAAATTACATACTTTAAAAACCAACACAAGGCTAAAACAAAATACAGAAAATACTGTTCTTCAACAAAACTAACATTGAAATTCAAATTGTCCATACTTTAAAAACTAACAGAACTAACATTGAAATTCAAATTGTCCACTTCACACAAACAAACAACAATACAAATTATTGAATGAATAGTAAAGACTCAAACCATGGTTACAATTTATAGAATCTACCACAGTAATCATTAGTTGACAATGCAAATATATTTCCTGCAAATATATTTCCAGAATGTGGTTTCACATGCTTAGAACTAACACCAAGGGTTTAGAGCATAACATAAAACAAATAAATTCGAGATTCAATAATACCATTACCATAATGTGCAGTACTAGCACATACATCTACCCCAAAGATGCATCTATTTCAGAAAATAATAATTATTATCATTACATTAGGACAGAGACAATTAAGTATTTTAAACACACAATGTAGTGTTTCATAGTCAAAGTAAAATCTACCTTTTCTCAATGCATGATACAAAATTCTACGATGTCATTCACATGTTTAAAACAATCAGCAGAGGTTTAGAGCCTAACACATAACAAATACTTTCAAGATTTAAGGAAACGACAATCATAATCTATAGAAGTCACAAAGATGTCAAAATAAATATCTATGAGACTCTAAGATGCATACATTATATAGGATTAATGACCTTATGATACACAAGCATTCAAACTTAGAGAATAAAATAATCAAAACACACAATATGCTCATGTAGAAACGCAAACACTTTTTATGATCTTGAAACTGAAAATACCTAATCTTTCGAATTGGAATTTGTCCCAGAACACATCACATCATCTTTAAGGGTTGATACAGCTAAAGCACCATAAACTACCACTTTGGAGTTCGAGTTAATGTCACTATGTCAGTGAGTCAATAATCATTTAGTTCAGCAGGGTGTGAGGGTGTGAGTAGCTATTTTATTCAACCTGCTACCTAATATGATGCTCAAGACGACTCACATGTATCATACTACCATCACTTCAACATACAACAATAGAGAGCAAATATAATGAAGATAATTGACATATAACCAAACAGAGTACTACTCACAGTTAAAGTCACACATCTTCCCATTCAAAGTCAATCAGAAAAAGAAAAGAAAAATGATACCACAACCAACATGAATATATCTGCATAAAATGCTCGAAGTTTTCACATGCTAGTTGAGTATTTTACCTTACACGCGTAGAGTGTTAGTAGTATGAAGCACGCCAGGCTTCAAGAGTACATAGCTACAATTATGAAAATAAAAGAAAGATCAAAACCACAAAGATAGTTTTAAGAACAGCAAATACTTTAGATACATAAGGGATATTCTAATACTGAAAGTAAAATAGCGGGTCAAAAAAATGTAGATACTACAAATAGCCAAAAGACTTAGAAAGGGACATATCGCATGCAGCAGTCACCAGCCTTAGGATGAGGGTTGAACTGCAAAGCATATATAAAAAAGATTCAGACACCAAAAGATAAGAGAGGGTCTCTTTCTTATATGTAACCAGAGATGATTTTATCACTTGCCTCTCTGTTCAATAGCCAATAAGGTCATACATGTTAAAATTTTCACTCTGCATACCTTTCTTTATCCTTGCCTTTCCCTCCTCAATCATTTCCTCCAGGGCTGTTCATTTTCTTCTCTTTGTACTCTCTTATATCCTCGGCATCTGAAAGCATAAATAAGTTTCATGTGTGGAGTTAGTTGCACTAGTATAGCTACAGAATGACAATTAACTGGAAAAAGATACAAGGATCTATTTCTATCATAAAGTTTAAACTGATTTAACTTGAGATCAACATAAGCATGACCTCTCCGAATCAATTCCACTGACAAATTATACAATTCTTGGAAATGATATCTGGTGTATGTAATCTAGAAGAAAAAAAAAGACAATGGTAAAAGTCAGATGAATTCAAAAACACACTAGTTATAACAATGCAGTTACCAAATGATTAATACACTCTTCCTTCTCTGCCTCACAGAAGTAAAATCAACATTTTTTCTTATCAGTGATACAATAAGTTTCTAGAATTTGACAGGATAGATCAAGGATAGTTATGCTATTAAGACAACTAAGATAACAAGTTCTGCTACACTTACAAAATCTCCATGGCATCAATGAGAATATCATCATCTTTCAAAGCACTTACCTGGAGCAAATAAAAATTAGTCAATACTATGGATTTCTTGAGAAAAGACTTATAAGTTTAGACTCTGAATAAAAATTACAAATATTGCTCACTATGAATTGAGAACAGCCTAACATACCTTATCAACATAAAACCAGATCTTTGTCAAGTGATGGCTCAGCCAAGTCAACTGAGTAAATACAAGAGAAAGATATGTAAGTCGATGCAAACACATCAACGTAAACGCAAGAAAGAAGCTGGTAACTTAACTTCAGAAAATACAACCCAGGAAGGATGAAACTTCGAAGACAAAAGCTTTCCTAGAATCCTCGACAGTCAACCTCGCAAAATTAGCCAACATATTCGCCTGATAAGAAGAACCAAAAGCCAGATAAAAAAGAGATGACAAATCCATGAGAATATCAACATCTTACCTGAACATTTATGTGTCTCTCACTTGTGATTTTTCATAATTATATCAACTAATTACGAACAAGTTTGTAAAGCAGACACACAAAAAAAAACGTAAAGGTTTGAAAAGCATATACATGTCAAGAAGTCTGCTACACTTGAAATCTACTCAAAGTCACATACCTGCAAAAATCAGAATCTGTTAGTTTTCATTTTACATGAATGTTATACTTACCTTGTTCGTGCATATTTTTTGTCTTACAACTTTACAATGTCGATGAGCTAAATATCTTTGATCTGCTGGTTGTTTTTACCATCCAACAAGGAAACAAGTCTAAACAGCCTGCTGTTGGTGTATTAGCTCTGCTGTCTTGTCTTAATACTTGGCTAGACATCATTGAGCCGTTGTTTTTACCATCCAACAAGGCAACAAGTCTAAACAGCCTGATGTTGGTATATTAGCTCTGCTGTCTTGTCTTAATACTTGGCTAGACATCATTGAGCCGTTGGTCTATTAGCTCTAAGTTCATTGTCTTGTTCTTTCATGTCTATTCGTTCTTTCATGTCTTTTGTCTAAAATCTCTTTCCCATTCTTTTTTCTTTTTATTCCCAAAGCCTTTCATGTCTTATGTCTTAATTCTCATTCCCATTCTTTCCTCTTTTGACTCCCAAAGCCGAGGGTACCAAATTTGTGGCTCTACTTTCTTGTCTTAATACTTGGCTAGACTTCATTGAGTCGTTGGTCTATTAGCTCTAAGTTCACTATCTTGTTCTTTCATGTCTTTTGTCTTAACCCTCTTTCCCATTCTTTTTTCTTTTCACTCCCAAAGCCTTTCATGTCTTATGTCTTAAACATCTCATTCCCATTCTTTTGTCTTTTGACTCCCAAAGCCGAGGGTACCAAATTTGTAGCTCTACTTTCTTGTCTTAATACTTGGCTAGACTTCATTGAGCCATTGGTCTATTAGCTCTAAGTTCACTGTCTTGTTCTTTCATGTCTTTCGTCTTAATCTCTTTCCCATTCTTTTTACTTTTCACTCCCAAAGACTGTCTTGTTCTTTCATGTCTATTGGTTCTTTCATGTCTTTCGTCTTAATCTCTTTCCCATTCTTTTTTTCATTTTACTCCCAAAGCCTTTCATGTCTTATGTCTTTAACTCTCATTCCAATTCTTTAGTCTTTTGACTCCCAAAGCCGAGCGTACCATATTTGTAGCTGTACTTTCTTGTCTTAATACTTGGCTAGACTTCATTGAGCCGTTGGTCTATTAGCTCTAAGTTCACTGTCTTGTTCTTTCATGTCTTTTGTCTTTAACTCTCTTTCCCATTCTTTTTTCTTTTCACTCCCAAAGCCTTTCATGTCTTATGTCTTAAACCTCTCATTCCCATTCTTTTGTCTTTTGACTCCCAAAGCCGAGGGTACCAAATTTGTATCTCTACTTTCTTGTCTTAATACTTGGCTAGACTTCATTGAGCCTTTGGTCTATTAGCTCTAAGTTCACTGTCTTCTTCTTTCATGTCTATTGGTTCTTTCATGTCTATTCACTTAAACCTCTCATTCCCATTCTTTTGTCTTTTGAATTCCAAAGCCGAGGGTACCAAACTTGAGAACTCTTTGGTTCTTTCATGTCTTTTGGCTTTTTAATGTCTTATGTCTTAATCTCTTTCCAACAAATCGAAACCTCTTTTCCAACTCGCAACATGCATGCACTACCAAGCCCATAACTTCCATGCCTTATGTTCTTTCATGTCTATTGGTTCTTTCATGTCTTATGTCTTAATCTCTTTCCAACAAATCGAAACCTCTTTTCCAACTCGCAACATGCATGCACTACCAAGCCCATAACTTCCATGCCTTTTCTTTCATGTCTATTGGTGCTTTCATGTCTTATGTCTTAAACCTCTCATTCCCATTCTTTTGTGTTTTGGATTCCAAAGCCGAGGGTACCAAACTTGAGAACTCTTTGGTTCTTTCATGTCTTTTGGCTTTTTAATGTCTTATGTCTTAATCTCTTTCCAACAAATCGAAACCTCTTTTCCAACTCGCAACATGCATGCACTACCAAGCCCATAACTTTTATGCCTTATGTTCTTTCATGTCTTTTGGTTCTTTATTGTCTTATGTCTTAATCTCTTTCCAACAAATCAAAACCTCTTTTCCAACTCGCAACATGCATGCACTACCAAGCCCATAACTTGCATGCCTTATGTTCTTTCATGTCTTTTGGTTCTTTATTGTCTTATGTCTTAATCTCTTTCCAACAAATCGAAACCTCTTTTCCAACTCGCAACATGCATGCACTACCAAGCCCATAACTTCCATGCCTTATGTTCTTTCATGTCTATTGGTTCTTTCATGTCTTATGTCTTCAACCTCTCATTCCCATTCTTTTGTCTTTGAATTCCAAAGCCGAGGGTACCAAACTTGAGAACTCTTTGGTTCTTTCATGTCTTTTGGTTCTCTATTGTCTTATGTCTTAATCTCTTTCCAACAAATCGAAACCTCTTTTCCAACTCGCAACATGCATGCACTACCAAGCCCATAACTTCCATGACTTTTGTTCTTTCATGTCTTTTGGTTCTTTATTGTCTTATGTCTTAATCTCTTTCCAACAAATCAAACCTCTTTCCAACTCGCAACATGCATGCACTACCAAGCCCATAACTTCCATGACTTTTGTTCTTTCATGTCTTTTGGTTCTTTATTGTCTTATGTCTTAATCTCTTCCCAACAAATAGCCCTCTTTTCCAACTCGCAACATGCATGCACTACCAAGCCCACAGTTCACCATTTCCCTTGGGACAATGTCCCCAAAATAGAATCTGACAGAACACTATTACATAAGTGTCTGCCTTTGATCTTTTTTGGGTTTTGAAAGAAAACAAAAACGAAAACATAAAAAAACTAAAAGCTCCAGCCGACAAAAAAAAAAAAAAAAAAAAAACTAAAAGCTCCAACATAAGAATCCGTAGACCAAGTAACCAATAACCAAAAACCAAAAACGGATCTGGATTCTTATTAAAGTGAATAATCACTTTTTGTTGTTGGATCAAGAAAACAAAAAAAACGAAAACCAAAAAACAAAAAACGAAAAATCAAAAAACAGAAAACGAAAAACAAAAACACAAAAATCTGATCATAAATGGACTGATCAAGGCAGAGAACACACAAAATACAAAACCAAAACCACAAAAGGAAAAAGAAAACCGTGTAAAAGGCAGAGAAATACCTCTTCGAAGCTGAGACAAGCTTCATGGGTTAGACTGAAACATAATCTCCCTGTAAAAACATTGTTTAAGTACAGAACAATTAGCATTGAGACAACGATCAGAGGAAGAAACACGAAGAGGATCAGATGAAGAAAACTAACAATTGGATCAAGAACACACAAAAACAAGAATCTTGATTCCAACATCACAATATAATATACAGAAATCAAATACTCAAATAAGATCATTAATGGACTAATCAATTGTAAGGCAGAGAACACACAAAATACAAAACCAAAGCACAGGAAAAAAAAACGGATAAGGCAGAGACATACCTCGTCGCCAAGCTTCATGGGTTAGACTCGATTCCTGTAACAAAGTTTAATTACAAAACAGTTAGTATCAGACAAGAATTAAAAACCGAAAACCCAATCTTACGTTTGCACATCAAAGTGAAATAGAGAACTTCGGATCAGATGAAGAAACACGAAGAGGATAAAGATGAAAAAAACTAACCAATCAACACCGAGGAGGAAGAAGAAGAAACCTAGCCGTCAAATGTGCCTCAAAACCCTAGAACTGTACCGTAACAAGAACGATTAGTAAATTCTAAAAACCCTAAAATAAAAATAGAAAACACGAAGAGGATCGGAGGAAGGAACCTAACCAATCAACACCGAGGAGGAAGAAGAAGAAACCAAGCCGTTGAATGTGCCTCAAAACCCTAGATCTGTACCATAACAAGAACGATTAGTCAATTCTAAAAACCCTAAAATAAAAATAGAAAACACAAAGAGGATCGGAGGAAGGAACCTAACCAATCAACACCGAGGAGGAAGAAGAAGAAACCAAACCGTTGAATGTGCCTCAAAACCCTAGATCTGTACCATAACAAGAACGATTAGTCAATTCTAAAAACCCTAAAATAAAATTAGAAAACACGAAAAGGATCGGAGGAAGAAACCTAACCAGATCACCGCGAGGAAGAAGAACCCCAACAGATTGTAATCGTTTCGTGCCTGAATCAACCCAAAATCAAAACCCGAACGATTTCACAAAAACTTGTATAATCGCGATACAGAGAAGTTGAAATTGCATACCAGTCTTAAGATTGTTTAACATGAATCTCCTCAACCGTCGTCGAAGCATTCTTCATTCTTCATTCGAGAGAGAGAGAGAGAGAGAGGAGAAAAAAGAAAAGGAAAATTTTGTTTCGTAACCAAAAAAAAAAGTGATATTGCTTCCTAATATATAACGTTGCGTTTTGATATAACGCGTTTCAATTACGGCTATAATTAAACATATATTGGCCGTTGATTCATCGCGTTTCATTAACGGCTATAATTAAACATATATTGGCCGTTGGTTCATTCGATACTTCAATCAGACGGTTCTGCACATTTCCACGATTAACTTTTCCTCTTTTTTTGAATTGGCAATGTAATCAAACGCAGAAACAAAATAACGTTTTCTCATAAACGGTCATATAGTCTATCTAGACAGTTTAAATGAGTTTCTTAATGGGCTTTCAATAACATCCATTAATTTAAAATTCAAATTTGAAAAACTAGTCTGGCTCTTTTGCAGAAGAGAACGAACACTTTAGGAAAAATTCAAAATTTTGACTTCGTTCCTCTCATTCTTTTTTCCATAAATTATGTGTTTGAATGTATTATACTATTATCTATGTTCCATTAAAATTGAGATGAAAATAAACTTATCACATATAATAATACAAGCAAATTTTTAACTCAAAGTTGCATACTTGCTTGTAAAAAAGGTTTTTTTGGTTGAATAAATTTAACATTCATTCAAAAAAAAAACTTGTAAGAGATGTAGTCTAGCCATTCAGACTTTAAATACTTTTTATTTTATTTTACTGTCTTCAAAGTCTAATACCCCAATTACTTGTTATATTACATGTATTCCTTTAAATGCCACCAAAAAAAATAGCAATTAATAAAAAATTAAAGTCATCAAAATTAGAGACTAAAAGATATCATCTAGCAAAATAAATAAAAAACTGTCACATTTGTTGGAAGAAAAAAATCCCTAACAAATTGAATTGGTAATTTTTTAGTCTGTTTTTTTTAAGTTAGATTAGTTGATCTTATTTCATAAAAGTTAAAGTCCTAATCATGCCTCTAAACTCACTGTTTATTTTCTTATTTCGTTCAAATGATTTAAATCGTTTAAACAAAAAATCAGCTAAATATGAGTTTTTTTAAAAATCACAAATTTACACTAGAAAATGCAACCAATCACTCTCATGTTTTGTTATTTTACTAAAATCTACCGTAAAAGTTTCCAACTAATCACTATCATCTTTTGTTATTTTACCAAACTCTATAATAAAAGTAAGTTTCGACAAAATCACTCCTACATTTTGTTATTTAATTAAGTTCATCTTCGATTACATCTAATGTAAATAATTGAATATGAAATTTCTTATTTAACAATATGTAGATCGCACTAGCTCCTTAAATATAGTATAGTACGACCAAAAATAAAATAGTTAATTATGTAAAGTTAAATTAAGACAAACATGATATGAGCTAGTGCTCTGTTGAGAACCAAAAAGAAAAGAACAAACAGAGTAACTCAACATTTTCTTGGTTGACTTTTCACATTTGCGATGGGAAAGATCCAACACGGATCCCATGAATGCGAGTTAACCTCACCCAAGATCATCTCAAATGGGATCTGCAACATCTGCTTCAAAGATGAACCTGTTGAATCCTCCTGCGACCCTTGTAACTTTGATCTCTGCAAACCTTGCTCGGACCTTCCCCTCAAGATGTCACACCATCTTCATCCTGAGCACCCTCTCGAGTTTCGTATCGGCGAAGCTGACCGGAACACCAAATACATGGTCTGCGTCGGGTGCGGAAACATGTCTTCCGGAACATACTACTACGAGTGTAGCAAGTGTGAGATCTATCTTGATTTGACTTGTGCACTTCAGAAGAGCATAACAAAAGGTTGGGAAGCCAAAGAGCTGCTCCATTACAGCCATGAACACTTGCTTAAAAGATGTCGGCCAGGACCAGACTCCAAAGGCTCTTGTCTTCTCTGTGAGCAACCTCTCTCTTTCACTGCAATATGTTACGGTTGTGTCCACTGTTACATGTTCTTCCACGAGCGTTGTCTTAATCTACCTACAGAGATCAAACATCCTATGCATCCTATCCACAGTCTCAAAAGACTTGACTACATACAAACTTTTGACGGTAGCAAATCTTGTAAAGCATGCCATGGCAAATTTGTTGGTGTCCCATTTGGTTGCATTGAATGTGAGTTTTACCTTCATCTGAGATGTGCAGATGCCTTGCTGCGAGGTTTGTTGTATAAGTCTCATGAACACAGGCTGGTTTATGCAGAGAGTTCTCGTCGTGTCGTTGATGATAGAATAAAATGTCCATGTCTGATATGCGGAGAAACTGTGATTTATAACAGATTCTATTATGTTTGCGTCGTATGTGATTTGAGGTCTCACACCGAGTGTATTGAGGTACCTGAATACGTGGTCAAGAAGTCATATCACATCCATCAACTTAAATATAAAAGAGTCGGAGCCGAGGAAGATTTTTTCGAGTATTGTGGTGTTTGTGAGACGATGATGGTTTCAGGACATCCTGCATATTCTTGTGAAGAATGTGATTTTCTTGGTCACACTGAATGCATTCTACGTGAGGTAATACAACTCTGTTTTTTTCTTATAGCGATGATGACAATGATGAGCTAGTAACTCTTATTCATAACTAACAGGAAGAGCCTTCTCCATTGTGCTTGAAAGATTTGTACTCTTGCAGCAAAAGTAACCAAAATCTCAAAGAAGACCTTGAAACCAGTGAATTTGAAGATAGGTTACTGGTATGGCTTCTTTTGAATTATATTTAATAGTTCAAATACATTAGTGTGAAACATTGTCTTTCGCTAAACTGTTTTCAAATATATGCTTCAGGTTAGTAGCTTCAGTCATGTTCATGTGATGAGACTAGCTCACATGAGTGAGCTTGAGGAAGAAGGAAACTGCAACATGTGTGGTACGAAGATACATGATAATCCTTGCAAATGTGAGACATGTAGCTTCCAATCACATGATTTCTGTGCAGAGCTTGGACGACCATCAAAGCATCAATTTCATTTGAACCATTCTTTGACCCTTCTACCAAACTCCCCTAGATGGAGGCAAAGAAAGTGTGACTCCTGCAAAAAGGATGTAGAAGGGTTCAATCTCTTCTGTCGTACATGCAACTATATCATCGACATCAGTTGTGTTTTGAAAGATAAGAAGATGCATGGTGCGTTACACAGGGGTCAGAAAATCATTGGAACATTGGTAGGACTTTGCATACTAGAAAAACACAGCTTGTTTGAACTTATCGTCTCAAGGTCATATCCTATTGCTTGTTCTATTTGTGAAGAGAAGCTGTGTGGAAAAGCTTTGTCATGTGTGTCGTGTAAAGATATATATCATCCTCTGTGTATCCAAGTTGGGAGGCAAGTACTAGTTGGTCATCCACTTCATTCTGATCACATGCTAGCAATAACTTCACTTGAAACTGAGTCCAAGTGCACTGCCTGCCAAATGAATATTACAACAAAGTATGTCTACCATTGTTCCATTTGCAAAATCAATTTCCATATTGGTTGCATCAAAGCAGTGATCATAGCACCAAGAAAGGTCAAGTCTCATAGCCACTATCTCTATAACTTTTGGAACAATGATTTGAGGGTGACTCGAGCTTGCAGTGTGTGCACTAGACCATGTGGTGTGTCGTTCTATGGATGTATTGACGACTGTAAGTTCAGTGCTCACGTAGAGTGTATTGGATTTCCATCTAATGTGAAGAACCAACAACATCAGCATACTCTTACACAAGGATACACTTCTCACAGAGTAAAATGGTCTGTCCGTGATTCATACATGGATGATATATTTTACTCATGCTACCACTGCGACGAAGGATTTGACACTAAGGATATAATTTCTAAGGTAAAGAATTAACTGATTATCTTGTAGACATTTAAACGAAAAGTTTCTTTCAGTTTCATCATTTAGTTTTTTTTGTCGGATTCAAACAGGACGACCGTGAGGAAGCAACGGAAGAAGAACAAGTTGAAGACATCTATCTTATGTACCTTGAGCGTGATCTCCTTGACCTTTTTAGTTAGTTATGATGAGTCTTTGTGAAGTAATGTTCTGCTTTCCTCTCTGAAATGCATCTTCAGTGAGTTATGTTTATGATCCATTTTGGGGGCTAAGTTTGCATCATGTCTATTTGTTGGATCTTGAATTTGTGGTTCTCATTCTTCTGATTGACAAGTTTGATTTCACAAAGAAGGCAATAGCCTGCGTCTAGTCCTGGTTCACACCTACAAAGCAAATGTTCATGACTTTAATTCAAGAACAAATCAAGAAGCGTAAATCCAAACAGATGATAAGGGTCAAAGCCAAGTCCTTTTTGACTTACTTAAGACACGTAACCAACAAGATAGGTCTAACCTTCTGAAGAGCTACCACGTCTTGGCCAGGTGGCAGGTTTCAAGACCGTGGCATGAGGATATAAAATTGTTTTGGTGTGGACAAAAAGGGGAAACTAAGTTAGAGAGATCGGTAAAAATGTCGGGAGCACAAGGAGCAGAGCCGATGGGTTCAAGAACGGCGACAACGTATGAGTCAGTGGAAGGAGGACAGAACAAGACGAAGCTTGATATAAAGTCAAAGGAAGACGAAGGTGGGATTCAAGTCGACAAGATTCAAGACAAGGTCTCTGATGCTGCGGGTCTTGGCGGACCTGTCTTTGGTGCTGGTAAAGATGACAAGAAGCAGGACCTTGGTGTTACCGGTACCGGCTAGATCTCTGTAAAATATGTGCATATATGTTCCTTTCATGTAATGATAAAGACATGTTTTAAGTAAAAACTAATCAATAAAAGTCTTCTTGCGAAAACTAATCAAACTGTGTCCTCTTACAAAGCCAAAAGGGTCTGTGTATGAAAGAAACATAGAAGCAAGATCAAATAGGACCTTCATAGTTCACAAAAGAGTATACAACAACTAAACTTATAACAACACCAACAAAAGATAAAACAGACTCAATGAAACACTAATAGGCTGTTCAAGAAAACTAAGTTCAGAGACAGAACCAAGTAAGGTCAATACACTGAGGATGATAGATCTCTTCACAAGTCACACATGACACAGCCTTTCCACACAACTTCTCATCACAAATAACGCAAGTAGTCGGATATGACCTGGAGATCACAAGTTGAACTAATCTATTATGCAGGCCTTTCTTGCACCATCCTCTTTAAGTTCCAGTGAATTTTTGCCTTAAGGCCTCAAGAACATGTTTACTTATTCAAGGCACAATTGATGTGGATGGTAAAATTACATATACTAATAATACCATTCTTAAGTCTTTACCAACAAAATCAAGATATATAAAACGATTCAGGGCATACACATAACATAATGAACTTGCATACATATACAAAAGGAAAACAAATCTCAGACGCAATCATTCTTCTGTTGTCTGACAGAGAGAGTTATGAGACTATTTAATGTTCTCTTAGTTCTAGTCTAAGTCATATGGAGGAAGTGTGAAGGAACCAGCACCATTTACAACGTCATCAGTCTTAATGGTTCCATCTTCAGACATAAGCACTCTGTATATCCGCTTCGAACAGGCCTCACCTACCCTTCCGTCTTCTCCTACTAAATTTTCTACTTTCAAGTCTTTTAGTATAAACTCCTTGTCATGAACCTGTTTCCCAAATTTTTTTTAACCAACAGCACAAAAATTGCATCAGAAGCCATTAGGAACAAACTGGGAAGTCAAATCCCTAGTATGTGTTTACTCACCGACATGTTAGGATTCATATAAACCTCAAGAAGTGACTTCAAGGATGGGTATTTCTTTGACACTGCTACAGCGTATTTTGCCTGTACCTTTGGTATTGCTACCAACACTTTCAACCTATCGACGCAATGCATATTACTGATTAAACACTGCAGGTGAATTAATTAAGATCACAATTGAAAATGAGTTCAGATTACTCTACCATACGCTCTCTCTAAACAAGTGCTTATCAGCTGCATTCTTGTTCATATATGTACCATCAGCGCATACTGATAACCGAGTTAACTTCTTCCTGAGCATCACAGCTTACTTAAGAATCAAGAACGTTAACGCAGAGATAATTTCTGGTTAATATTGAGGTTCCGGATCTCTTACAAAAGATTTTTGGATATGTTTGATGGGAGGAAAGAAAATGGAACTTTCATTGGGCATCATATCAAATCAAAATATTTGGAAACAAAATTGAAATAGCATATATATTAGTACCTGAATTGACAATGGGCCAAAGTACTTGTTAAACGAACAACATGTTCAGCCACCTCAGCATCATCTACACAATGCCTGGAATGTACTCCATCATAATGAGTAGTTAATTTTGCAAGTGCCTGCAACACATCAGATCTTTATTAAGGACATAAAAGGTGCATGAAAGAGTGTTCCTCTAAACACATTTTGATTAGGAACTGTTACCTCATCAATAGGAGGCTTACTCCAACCACTGCAATTTACAGGGTCCTTGTACTCAACCCTCTCCCTAGAAGAGAGATTTTTCAGCTTCAGGACGGAAACATTAATGCAAAAATAAATTACCTTCTCAAACCTACTTTTTGTTTACGTAGGACATTAACTTATTGGTGAGGTAGCACACTTTATAAGATGGGTATTCGTCACGAACTCTGGAGACACTTTCTAGAAGTTCTTTATTAGCAACAAGATTACAAAAGTCTTCAGCCTCATACAAAAGTAAAACATATGGAATCTTGGGCCCTTGGGGCAAAGTCTGCAATAGATAAAAGAAGATGCAAATCAAGAGAATAAGAAAACACCAGGTACAGCTGATTCACATTATAATCTTCTAAGGCACAAGGGATATATTTCTTTATGCAGTCATCTTTGATCAGTTACTTTCTAATAAGCACATATCTCATTCTTAAAGATGGAGGTATAAAAAAACTTATAACTGAAACACACAGTAAGAATAATTTGACAAACAAAGCCAATATGTCTATACCTGAAACACACAAACAGTTACATTGAACTTTAAAGTTTAAGAAGTCATTTCAATCATCGTGACATTTGAAGACAATGCAGAGACAAGAATCATAGCTCGATTTCCTAGCCAAAAGTATGATGAAACGAAATTTGCAACACAGAAGAGTATGGTGCATAAATCAGAGAAAAAAAACACAATGTTCAACTACCAAGGTTATCCTCACTGGAAACAGAGATGCAGAACATATTGGGGAATTGGTAACAGTAGCAAGTACTGGTTTCTAAGAATCACTTGTCATCAAATATATTGCAATTATGAGATTCAAGATGCAAGCCTATTGATTAACATTGGCCCATACTACAAATTGCCTGAGATTTTATCGTACCTGCTCAACATCCTCAGGAAGTGTCATTGTCCACACAATGGATCTCTCAATTGGATTAGGGTTTATATGGTAAGTAATGCCTTTCACTTTCAACCTCGAAATGAGAGGTCCTGTAATAACTGAAGCACTGAGTTACCATACTTAAGTGATAAACTACCCAATCTTGAGAATTATGTTGAAGAAATGATACGTAGAATGGAGAAAGTCCTTACCTCCAAAGGATTCTTCAGCCACTTTATTGTCAATCAAGGCGACGATAGATTTAAGTGTTTTATCCTTAGACTTTGCCCATTTCTGCTTTTCCCTCTCCGACTGTTTATGCTCAGCATCTTCTGCTTTCGAAGCAGCTTTCAGTTGTTTCTCTCGCTGGATGATGGAAGTTAATTGACTATTAATCCATGGAACATAAAATAGACATATTATGTAAAACAAAGCTCACTTCTTTTCTTAGCTTCTTTTCTTCAGTAGCGCGGATCTTTTCATCTTTTAACATCTTTTTTTCGACAATGCATCAGCAGAAAGAGATGTAGTTTTAGAACTTCTTGTCTGCTTCTGTCGACCCATTTTCTCAACGCTTGTATATCCATTTTCATGGTCAGAATCTACCTGATTTTTGCAAGTAATGAAAATAACAATGAGCAATTAATAAATTATACAGCTTGTACCATTTGGTAGTAAGATCAGCGCAATGATGGTGCACCAAACGAAAGAGAGACGTAACTAGCAATGCCCAATATAAGCAAACAGATGACACATGAGAATCCAAAATAGTCCCAATCCTCTAAAACAAAGCAGCAAGAATCTCAAGAAGAGCCAACAATTCCTTAATCAGGTACCCATCATGATGAAGAATATGGTATGGGTGCAGAATGCTTTGCGGATAAGTACCTCAATAGCATCCTTAGACGGTGAAGATCGAAAACTAGCTCGCTGCATCCAACTAGTATCATCATCTGAAAGTAAACAACAACAAGCAATTTCTAAGTAGGGGAGAGACTACCCTTTACAACTGAAAGTTCATCAGGCATGTGTTTATTGTAGTTCATAACTTTAATTCCAGGGTAAGCATATCTATTGGTTTGTATTCAGGTCATAGTTAACCTCACCAGAAGCAGCAGCATGAGTGGATCCAAATTCCAATTCACAACGTTGTTGTTTCCAAGAATCAGCATCCACGGGTTCATACTTTTTTGAAGTCCCAGGTCCAGGACTGTCTTCAGAATCCGACTCAAGAGATATAACTCGTCTTCCTAATCAGATTTCCAAAACAAAATCTCAGCAAAACAGTAAAACCCTAGCAAGAACAGAACGATTTCATCAGAAATCCCAAAAATTGGGAATAAAAGATTCTGCCCAAGTATCAATTCCCCTATAAACGAAACTATTTCAGCATAACCAACACAGACGAACCCTACATACTGAGAAAATTCTCGATTCCGGAACTTAAACTTACCGGAAAATTTGTGCTCACGGTGTGAAGAAACTCCGATACCGGAACCAAAGGAAGAAGACTTGACGACAGCGACATCATCAGAGAGAGGATTCTCGTCGACGACGAACAATGGAGTAGAAGCAGATCCCGGCGGTTGCTTCGGCGGTGACGGATCGTCATCCAAGTTCAAAATCGAAGGTGTAGGATTCTTTCGAGCCCTCTTCAACGGTGGTGGAGTATCCTCATCCTCGCTGTCGGAGAGCAGAATGGGATCGCTCATTGTGAGAAAGAGAGAAACTCGAATTTGAATTTTGGCAATGAAGGCGGGATTACCGATAAAAAAAAAAAACATCAGTGTGATATAACGATTCGTCAGAGGTTTAAGAGTGTTTGGCTACAAGCTTTACTTTATTCTTTAAATGTATGATCTTAGCTTGGTTAAGAAGCTTTCATGTTGAGATATTGATGGGTTTATATGATTTTAATATCACCTTTTCTATTAAACTTAATTGTGTGATTAATATTAAAACAAATTATGTTCCACAAATTACCAAAGCTTCCAAGTTGGCATCATCACTATTCACTCGTCAGGCAAACTGATTCAAGAGATTGTAACAACGTAATCTTTGAACCATTTTCTCGTTAAGTTCACCATCAGATTATCTAATTTAACCTCTGCAGATCATTCAATACATGTACAATGGAAGAAAGAAACCAAGAAGAATCGTTAGAGACCAAACAATACGATAATTAATTGATTTAGAGGATCTCAGACATCCAAGGAAGGAGAAAGAAGCAGCATTAGCTCTCAAGCCCGGCGAAAGGCGAAAGCTTTAGGCGGCCACTGCGAATAGTTTTGAGAAACAAAGCCTTTTTGCTTTTATCCTCATCGATCCTCCTTGATATATATACACAACATAACTAAGTACTAAACTAGACTGTAGTAGATACAGAGAGTCTCAGACATCCAAGGAAGGATAAAGAACAGCATTTGGCTCTCAAGCCTGGCGAAAGGCGAAAGCCCTTAGGCGGCCACTGCGAATGTTTTGAGAAACAAGCCTTCTTATTCTTTCATCATCGACCCACACGAACAAGAATCATACGTTAACTCGAGTTTCCAACCAAAGATACCAGTCAAAATCATACTTTAAAATCCAAGAACAAGAAACATATGCAGAACAACTTAAAGAAATTCGAATTCTAGTGTTTATGGTGGCGATTACAATATTACATGATCAAGAAGAAGAAGGTTTTGGATTCTGATATATATAGTTCGGAGAAAGAGGCGGCGGCCGATGAGTCCAAATGGTCGAAAACAATAGGGTTTTTGTTTTCGACCACACACACACGACACGATGAACGGCTGAGATTTGTTTCCTTTCTTGGGTTATATTGCATTTTTCCAAATGGGCTTTTCTCATCCTCATCAAAATTTCTTGATAGGCTTACTTAGCTCAGCCTGTTATTACGGCCCAATACATTGTTTCAACTTCCAAGTTTGACTTTGACTCAAATTCTCATGATACACATATATAACTGCTAAAAGCTATAGATGTGAGATTATCATCCCGGTAATCTTATGTTTGATTGATCTATTAACGAATGTACCAAGAACATTCACGCAAAGATGGTCTCATTAAACAAATTATTTGACTACCCCATTAATCAACCTAAATATATAACATTTGAATCAACATCGTAATATAATATGGTACTTAATATCAAAGATAATTCGTGGATAGCAATTGTGTGGTCACAAAATACAATTGTAGTGTGTATAAAATTATTCAGAGTAGTTTTCATTAATACGTTTAGCCAATAATAATCAACATTATTCTAAGGATATAGTAATTTCTATAGTTATTAATCGGAGCTATTATATTTACAACAAATATGTAAAAGTAAAATGGGTGTACATCTTTAGTTAAGTGTGTGGCCTAGTGGCTTTTTTGAACAAAAGAGAAAGAAAAAAAACTATGATAAAGAAATTTTGGAAAATTATGACACTACAACTTTTTTTAAAAGGATTTTTGTTGAAGAATTTAATTTATCCATTGACATATCAAAAAAGAGTTTGTCAACAAAAAGTTTACAAAACTCATACAAACGAGAAAAAATAACATATATCACCGGTTAATCAGTTTCTTTCTTTAGCCATTTTGGATGAAATTCTATTATATATAACTTAAATATAGATTGTGCAATGTGTCTATTTGATTATTGATATTATTTACACATATATATCAAAATATTGATTCTATATAATCCGTCTAAATAAATATATAGTTTAGTTGATTTATTCATGTAATCACTTAAATGATAGTATAAAACAATCTAAGGCGCATAAATATATAGATTTAATGATATAATTTGTTTAAACATACATTAATCGATAGTCCTCGTGTGGAAATAATGTAGGTGAAAATAATGGAGGAGGAAATAATGGAGTTAGGAATGTGTAACTATTCCACTTAATTAATGTCATCACCGGTAAGGGAACTATGAACTGGGAAGTTGATTTTAGGTATGGCAACATGATCGTCAAAATTGTCAATATATATATATATATTTCCAAATCACTTTATTTTTATTATGTAAAAACCAGCTCTAGATTTCAAAGATTAAGAGGTGTTTATCCAAATTTTTGCAGTTATCAAATATTGGTTTATTATTTTAAAAATACAAGCATACAACAGTGTTTTCGTAAACATGTATTCCAACTAATTACATATCTCATTTTAACTATCACTCTTGAATGAATCGTGCATATAATGCACAAACATCCCAATTGCAACATCTTGATCATGATACGTTCTAAACTCGTATACTCTTAAAAATAATTATCTTTATATATTCTTCTTAATGTTATACATTTTGTAGTTGCATTGTAGTATTTGGATAAATTACTTAGATTATAAATTTTAAATATTGGGTTATGCTTTGCCTTGTCATGTTTTTTTGTCACCATAGGTCAAGTCATTTTTGTTGTGAGTAATATAATGGAATGTATTTACAGTATCTTATAACATTCCAGTTTTGTTTTAGAAAACTGATGCTTTTAAATGTAATTTTAGGTTGTGAAATTATTTTACAGATATATATAATGATAAACGTATAAGTTTAGTCTCCAAAATTTTTAGATTATAAATTAAATTATTTTTTGGACGCCTTCCTAACCAAATGATTGAGTTGATAAATTTTTGTCAACCACATGTTTTTGGATTATTATCTATGAACAGATCGATGAAGTGTTATTTCGTAATTGCATGGATTATAACCATTTCTTTTGATCTTTTAATTTAACAAGATTAGTTACCAAGGCTACAACTTTGATTCTTTGAAAACCTACTGTTCATGAATAATATCACACCTGCTTGTATGCAAATTTCTTCTTTAAGTTTTCTATAATCAAGTATGAACACTATGATCCCCACATAAAAGACTTCGAGAAGAAACCTTATAAAATTAGAATGTATTCTTACAAATTACCCTTTGTACCAATGTTTATAGGTAGTAAAATCTTAGATTATATATATTCTCGTTACAAAACCTCATTGTTCGAAGAAAAAAGGAACACAAAACTCGAAGCAACACTAAGCATTCGGAAACTATTAACTATATACAGTACACCCAAAGCGACAAGCAAGTATATATAAATAAGAGCCGAAGTCCACGAGACATGCTTTTACTTTCTAAGTACTTTCTGAAGTCCAGAAGTATAACAAAGAGCTTCAACTTCCGCAGGCTAAACATTCCTCAGGGTTTGTTAAGGAACATACCATCTGCGCCAACTTAGTTTCATTGTCCCCTTCTTCTACTTCTTTACCTCCTTCTGCTACACTCGGTTTCTCCTACATTAAGCCAAACGACAACAACTCACAGGTAAAATGTCTGAATTCACAAGAAGAATTAGTATAAAGACTACTGCATTGTTGTTTTTTTACCTTGAGCATGGCTGTGTCAACTGTGAACTTTATCGCATCAGCTGCAGCACGCGATCGCAGGTAATACATCCCGGTTTTCAAACCCTTAAGGTAGATTAACAACAGCATAAGTGAGATTAAGAGTATTCATAAGATGAGTGAAGGAGCAGATACTCTTTAATATCTCAAAACTATTTCACATTAAGAAGAGTTATAGATGTTAAACTTTCTACCTTTGTCCAAGCATAGAAGTGTAATGAAGTGAGTTTTGCGAAGTTGGGTTGGTCCATGTGTATGTTTAAGCTTTGGCTTTGATCTATGTAGCATCCACGATCAACAGCCATGTCCACCACTGTTCTCTGTTTGATTTCCCAGACGGTTCTGTGTTGTATGGCAAGAGGAACAAATTAAATCTTGGCATCTAGGCATTGTAGTTAGTGAGAACGCAAGATAAGTGGAAGCTATACCTGTAAATAGCCTTCAAGTCGTCAGGTATCTCCGCAACCTTTGCTATAGAACCATTCTCACTAATTAATTTGTTCTTCAACGTCGGAGTCCAAAGTCCCATATCAGTTAAGTCATGGAGAAGATGCTTATTCACCACTACAAACTCACCACTGCACAAACCAAGACGACCCAATGAGTAAGCTAAGTGGAACAACCAGAAACTTTTCAGATGATTTAATCACATACCTCAATACTCTGCGACTGTAGATGTTTGATGTATATGGCTCAAAACATTCATTGTTCCCAAGAATCTGACTGGTTGAAGCAGTTGGCATGGGTGCTACTAAAAGAGAATTTCTCACTCCATTCTTTGATATCATATCCCTCAGAACAGCCCAGTCCCAGCGCTTTGATGGAATTACATTCCACATGTCAGGTTGAAGGATTCCCTATAGACAGGATATAGTCAGTCTAACAATCCACCATAATGTCATATGAAGTTTGGTCAAATAAATTTATATAAGTGATGGCTGAGATACATACCTGACTCACAGGACTTCCTGCATAGGTCTCATAGGGGCCAACTCTTGCAGCAAGCTCTGAAGATGCTTTGAGAGCATGGTAGTATATGGTTTCAAATATATCCTTATTCAATTGTTGGGCCTGAGTAAGAAATTAACCTGCTTAGTAACAGGGGACAAAATTATTTTCCAAGGTTGATCAGAAAGCAGAACAAATCTACCTCTGGAGAATCAAATGGCATTCCAAGGAGAATAAATGCATCAGCAAGACCTTGTACACCAATACCAATAGGTCTATGACGCATGTTTGAAGTTTTTGCAGTCTCCACAGGATAGTAATTCACATCTATTATCTTATTGAGATTAATAGTAACAGTAGCAGTCACCTGGCCACACATGCATAAAAAAGTTAACATCACATCACAGGCCCGGACATTTCTCCAGAGAT